TGTATTATTAATTATTCAAAAATGCTTTCAACAATAAATTATAATAATAATAATCATTATCATTCATATTATAAATATTATTCTTACTATTATTCAATAGAATAATACTGAACATTAAAATAATGGTTTTGTGAATATAGTAAATAATAATAACTTTTTATTTACAGCACATATTGGAACAAAAATGCTGTGGGTTTGTCTACTGCATAGCCTAAAGACCCTATGAAATCCAAAGTTTTATGGTTTTTACTCAATGTCTATCCGCTTTGAAGTAATTAACATGCTACTATGATACCAATTGACAAAAAAAAATGTGATTACTTATCTTGTACAAATAAAAGCATACAATTTTCTCCAATCAAACAGTTGTCTACTGCATAGCCTAAAGACCCTATGAAATCCAAAGTTTTATGGTTTTTACTCCATGTCTATCCGCTTTGAAGTAATTAACATGCTACTATGATACCAATTGACAAAAAAATATTGATTACTTATCTTGTACAAATAAAAGCATACAATTTTCTCCAATCAAACACCACCTAGAATATTAGCATCTCCTTCCCAGACCACCTCCTACCAACTAGATTCACATGTGTTGCTGTGGGACTTCAAAATGAACATTTTACAACACTATTTGCGTATAAAGTACAACAGCAAACACTGTTTAATTGAAACTGCATGCATTTGAATGATTAACTATTAAGTGGGCAGCAAAGTTGAACGCAGGACACCGAAAACCGGCTTAACCACCACACGCTGCGATATACCAGCAAACGACTTTAATCCGAAGTCAAGTCAACAGCTGACAGTCTTGAGTGGCAGTGTGTTGAACTTAAGCACAAATTCTAAATATTAGCCTGTTTTTTCTGACAGGTTAAATATAGTGGGTGCTTGAGTGACGGGGCGAAAGAGTGCAAAAGCAAGACAGATTGACTGGCAGAGTAAGAGGGCACCAGGGCCTTTGGAGATGTTACCTGTCAATGGGCAGCCAGAAAAGACGCTCAGTCTGTCTCACTCTCAGGAGGCGCCGATGGGCCGAAGTTTGCCTCTCATTTAGGCTGTTATGACAGGTTAGATCATTTATTTGATGCCTAGAAAGTTCTCCAGTTCTCCCTCACATTCGGTATGAGATTGAATTCATTCAGCAGATTTGAAGTGCCTGATTATGTTATTATGGAAATCCGAAAATGCCAAACGGCAGTCCACGTCTGGTTCAAATGTCATGATATGTCACAGCCGGTTGAAATGCCTCACTGTGAGCCACTTCAGTTAATAAGATTACATGCTGGCTGAATTAATGAACGACTGAGTGCACACAAACAGGAAAAATCCGTTCTGAAGCACGCTTAAACACCCTGAAAACAACCAGACTCGCTAAGCGTGCACTCGGCGTAACCCTTCCCCACGGCTCTAGCTCAGGTTTGCGGTGTGAAGGCACAGATCCAGGGATACTGTGTTCCACCGAGGCCACGATCTTTCGCTTGGTCATCCATAAAACAGGAGATGAAGTGGCCGGCTTAGCCGATCAATGACAGCGCAGGTGACACAGTCTCTGAAGTTGCTGAACGCTGTGACATTTGGAGAGGAAATGGGAACGTTCTCCTCGGAGCACCGCTGAGTCAAGCCATCCATCAGCGCTGTCCTTATCCTTCAGATTGTACTCTCAATCTGATCCGTTACACACCTGCTCATAAAAACTACATGAACTCAACGTGGAACCTGCTTTCTTAAAGCAACAGTTCACCCAAGAAACAAACATTATTTTGTCATTATATTCACATAATTTCAAACCCAAACACTA